TTCTTGTTGTCAGTTTCTATCCAGATTGTCTGAGTGAATGTCTGGAGGTGTAGGCACCTCGGAATGATTGTGTTAAGCTAGCACTAAGTCCCTCGCCTGTCCACCTTTACTCTTTTCTTTACAATAAGGCTTTCAAATTAGTCATGGCTGTACGGCAGTGAAGCATCGGTGTTGAACACTGATGTCATGCTGTCGATGATGATGATGATGAAATGACCCTGGTTAGATTTTTAAGTAATACTTGAGCCTCCTGCTCCCTCTCAAAAGATGAGGACAGCTTCGTCTACATATTCCAGGTCAACATGGTTGTCGCTCCGATAGACCTGAACATTGAGGTTTCGAAGAACCCAGAGTTCGCATCATTACCTTATCCATAGCGAAATTGAACAGATATGGAGAGAGTGGTCACCCTTGTTGGACACCATTGCTTGTTGGGAATCTTTTTGAGGGCTGCGCCCACTGGTATGTGAGTAAAGGTAGTGGATGTTGCGCAAGCTTGTTGAAAAGAACGAACCAGTCGAGGAAACCGAACGCACTTTTGATTGTATGGGGTCTATAAGCATACCGTTGCTCGTTGGTATGTTGAAGTATGGTCCACACAGTCTTCTCTCCGCTGCAGTTCTGCTTGCTTTTCTGAAGACAGCACGTATCAATAGAAAGTGTGTCCAGCGCACATGCTATAGTCGTCTATTGTCCAGCCTGTTTCAGAGGTTGGAGGTTAGAGGCTACTAGATGAACTATGCATCGGAGTGAGAATGTTGTCTAAGTGTCTACAGCCGTGACCGGTCGTCTGCAGATATTAGAGCTAACGGCAATGGGTGACGAACAGAGCTGTCGTTTGCAACGGGGTAAGGAAATACGGAAGAACGGACTTGTGAAAGAGGAAGAGGGGAGGCGTCATCAGCATCCTCTCTTCGCTAAACTGCCTTATTGTATGCGGCGATTAAGGTGACCGGCTGATGGCAGCACGTGGCGCTGATGTGGAATGAAGTCATAATATACAGCCTTTCTATATCTACTGATTTTTACTCACTGGCTTGCAGTAGAGACTAGTTCTTGTCACTTTTGCTACCCGATTCTGGGTTTAGTACTTTCCTCATGGATGATAATTTTACTTGTTTGAATATGTTCACTGTTTTTGCTTGCGCAGTTGCCCACCGTGCTCACTTAGTCATTAGAAGGCGGTCTTATCTCATTTTGTGGACATATGCCTTTTCCATCATCTAAACGAACATATCGTAATGCCTTTTTGTCGGTAGCGTTTAGCAAGACAGTTTAGTGCTGTTCTGATATGACATTCGTTGCCTCAATTCCCTCACACTACCGTTTAGAACAAGACCTCTCCAAACCGCAATTGGAACCGATACCATCCTACCCTCGCAAAACCCGACACAGACGACCAACTTTTAGTTGGCGCAGACTACTGTGTTGCTATTCCTCTTACGTGGATTCCCCAAAGGTGCCGGAGAGGCCGCAGCTGACAACCGTAGGTTCCTCCGTTGTCCCGATACCTCACCCCCAAAATGGCGAACCCGTGAAGAAGCTCCCGGATGACAATTCGACAGACCAAGCATCTAAGGTCGCTCGAAAGTTCTGGAGTTCCCCTCGACGGAGTAAAGCAATCACGAATAATTTAGTTTCAACGGCGCCTCTCCTAGTCTCCGAAGAATCGCGCGTTCATCCATCGCCCAGTTCAAACTGCACCACAGGATACCATCGTGATACTTCTGTCGCGTCGACCGCTCCATCTTATCATGCAACCCTTCCTGGTTCGGTACTCAATGCCATAACATCCAACCATCAAGAGCCTTCCTATCCTCATCCAGTCCTATGTACCGCAGATACCAGTTCCACTTCTGTTGTCCCTTCCAGAGCTTCTGCACCCCCTTGTTCTTCAGCGATGTACGTACCTCCGCCCATAAAACCCCACTCTTCGTTTACCATCACTTTTCCTCGATTTCATGCGTACAACCGACACTCGATCGGCTCTTCATCGAAACAGCCCCCGCCCACCACAGGGTACACCTCTCATTTTCAGATCCCCGTCTCTGGGAGCTCTGAAGTTAATAAAGATGCATACGCTTCTGACGCAGTCCACTTGCGTGGTAATTATCCCGGCACCACCAACCTTTGGAATAGTGGGGACGTTGTGGATCACCATGCGCCGACAATAGATTCGGAACTTCCTGACTACGGTCAAAGTGGGTCGGATCAGAATGGAGCTCAGGGTGATTCTTCCTCCGAAAATCTGGAAATGGTGAGTAGTTCATTTTGCTTTCTTATTCTCCGACATAGGTCAGCTGGACTGAATCAGCTTCCGTTTGGCACCAATCACAGCCTCAAACTCTGGGATAGTTCCCTGAAGACTTCGACCGAAGAGATAGAGTATTTGATGCTTCTCATGGATGAGCTTCGTTAAGGCTGCAGAGTTGCTGTTGTGAAAAACACTGGCCTTCTTTCAGCGGGGTCTTTCTTGAGGGGGGTTACTCTACCAATGTGAAAACAATATTCTGACTGCCTCTTCGGAAAGTATGATTAGTTGCTGGGCATACTGAATATTTTCGTGATTCTCATGGTGAGAATACCGTCGCTACCATGGGTTTACAAGTGAACAGACAGATTGGTTCGACAAGTCAAGGGATAAAAGTTCATGAAGGATTACATATGCATATAGAGTCTATGAGGTAGACGCAGTAAACAGCAGCAGACAGAGGAAGAGTTTGACCGGGGGAAAGGAAGTACAATGGGTGTATTTATCAACGAGAAAGCCCAGCAACAGTACGAGGACTTGCGCAATAGAAAACAGGCTGTAGTTTGTGGGTGCGCTCACGCGTCCGGTTTTACGGACAGCGGCGGAGCATGTGGCTGTAATAAGCTTGACGAAAACACGACAAACTATGACCAATATGGCGTATGTGAGCCTCAAGAGTGTCTGTTTCCCTGGATCCCGCACAACACTATTGCCTACCGGCAGCACCATAATGCACGGTTCTCCCCAGAAGAAGACCCACTGCAAGGAAAAGGCTCTTTCTTTGGGATCACTGACTGCAGTTTTTGTGGCTCATGGTGCCCATGTGACCCAGGCCTCAATACGAGCAGTCGGGGTGCCATACTAGTGAGCTCAAAGCTGTAATCGTGCGGTTTACGCTATCCTGAGTAAAGAAGGTCTGTAGAGAACTGGATTGAGTTTTCCCCGAATGCATAGGAATCCTTAAAAACTCATTACGTGGTTTAGTGGCATCATTCGATTGAAGAATATGAGTGCCGTCCAGCCGTCTGTTTGCTCATCTTAATAGCTTTTCGGAATTTGTTGGGGACCTTTTTTTGAAGAGACCTGGGTTGTATTCCGGCTTAATTCACTGCACTGCGTTTCTCTACATGGTCAGTCCGATTTTTATAACTAGAACGAACCCTGTGTCATCCAACTTAGATATGGGGCGAGATGGCCCAAGTGGTAAAGCGCGAATTTACTGACCGGAAGGTCCGTGGTTCGAATCCGACCTCCGGCTCTCGACTTCCCCTGTCTAGGCTTGGGCAACCTGGCAGTATCCCGGCCCTCGTGCTTCCTTCGGGTGGCATGGCAGCTAGGCGCCGAAAGGGTGCTACAGCTGAACGCCAACTTAGACGTGGCAGAGTCCGTTGGACACGCCAAAATAGATTAGCCAATCACAACTAGAAGTGCCTGGCTGGGATTTTCTACAATACTTGCAGTTGTATAGGAGGGTGAACCATGGAGCTGGAGGACTATGTTACAAGGTACAGTTCAACACCTGGATAAATTTAGTTAGATTCAAGTACCAACTAGCTCGTGAGTTAATGAGATAAAAGAGGATGGATTTCTGTAGTTGTTTTATTCTTGGAAGGAATGAAGATGAGTGCACTGTGGTCTGATGATGGGCCGTAGTCACTTACTAGCAGTGCCTTGAGGACAAAGGCGGTAAAAGCAATGAGTGGGAGTAAAACTGGCAAGTTTTCAATGAAAGGGACAGTGATTGAGTCCAAAGGAGAGTATTCGGGTCGTTGACAATCGAAGGGTAATATGAATATCATAGATGTTGGTCGTGTCGAAGTTCATTTTGTTCACTGATCTCCACTATACTTTGGCGATATGAGTACGTCATACGGTGACCAACACTGGGTGGTGCCATCCACGCATGTACGGTGGAAATCAGTTTATCGGCATCAAATAAATAGGGTCGACGATAGTGAGGAGCCTATGGGGATCCAGAGGGCTGGAGAATATGCCGTAAATGTGTGCTGTCCGTGGTTCGAACCCGACCTCTGCCTCTCGACTTCCCCTGTCTAGGCTTGGGCAACCTGGCAGTATCCCGGCCCTCGTGCTTCCTTCGGGTGGCATGGCAGCTAGGCGCCGAAAGGGTGCTACAGCTGAACGCCAACTTAGACGTGGCAGAGTCCGTTGGACACGCCAAAATAGATTAGCCAATCACAACTAGAAGTGCCTGGCTGGGATTTTCTACAATACTTGCAGTTGTATAGGAGGGTGAACCATGGAGCTGGAGGACTATGTTACAAGGTACAGTTCAACACCTGGATAAATTTAGTTAGATTCAAGTACCAACTAGCTCGTGAGTTAATGAGATAAAAGAGGATGGATTTCTGTAGTTGTTTTATTCTTGGAAGGAATGAAGATGAGTGCACTGTGGTCTGATGATGGGCCGTAGTCACTTACTAGCAGTGCCTTGAGGACAAAGGCGGTAAAAGCAATGAGTGGGAGTAAAACTGGCAAGTTTTCAATGAAAGGGACAGTGATTGAGTCCAAAGGAGAGTATTCGGGTCGTTGACAATCGAAGGGTAATATGAATATCATAGATGTTGGTCGTGTCGAAGTTCATTTTGTTCACTGATCTCCACTATACTTTGGCGATATGAGTACGTCATACGGTGACCAACACTGGGTGGTGCCATCCACGCATGTACGGTGGAAATCAGTTTATCGGCATCAAATAAATAGGGTCGACGATAGTGAGGAGCCTATGGGGATCCAGAGGGCTGGAGAATATGCCGTAAATGTGTGCTGTCCGTGGTTCGAACCCGACCTCTGCCTCTCGACTTCCCCTGTCTAGGCTTGGGTAACCTGGCAGTATCCCAGCCCTCGTGTGGCATGGCAGTTAGGCACCGAAAGGGTGCTACAGCTGAACAATTTTTTTACGATTAGTGAACCCCATAAGAGCCCTATAGCGTGGATGGTAGTGTATGCTATCCACCACATCGGTTGGTCACTTGAAACTCCATCTGCTTTCAAGTCCTTCCCTGACGAACCTAGTATGATCCTTTCAGGACGGCCCTCCAGAGGGCGACAGCTTTGTCATTTCTACTGAATCTCCGTCCTCGCCTTCCCTCTTAGACAGAGAGTACTTTATAAATGAGCTTTATGCCCAGACCCGTCTACCGTACTGATGCATTCCCTCATTTACGGTAGTTAGTTGTTCTTCCTCTACTTCCTGCAATCGAACCTTCAACGGAACATCAAAGCAGTCTGCACTGCAGTGAAATTGTGATGACAGGAATACAATTCTGTGGTGATCACTTGGGCAGACTGCTTCCGGTTGTTTTTATTCTTGCTCACTGATTTTCTAACTTTTTTTCATCGTCCCTTCCCTCTTATGCAGCTCACTCCTGGTATGGATTTACTGGGCGAACCAACATCCGACTGTGTGAACAAAAAGTGCCTCGTTCTAGATCTTGATGAAACTCTTGTCCACAGTTGGTTTAAGGTGAGTCCGTTTCGTGCTCAAATAACTATTCGTTGCTTTGCTCTTGTTTCGTCTTCTTCTCGTGCTTCGCATGCGTTATCTCGCCTCTTCAAGTGATTTCGTTTTTTAGTCGATTCCCCTGAATTTCAATGTGCCTTGCACCATCTTCACTGCCGCACCTGCACACGTACGCACCTCACTGGTAGTTTCGCAATTAACTCGTTTTTTTTCAAGCGGCGTTTTTCTCTTGTGCGCCGAGCCATGGCAACTGGTTTAATAGACCATTTGCACAACATGCCCAAGTTACCTGTTTTTGTGCAAAACAGTGAGACACCATGTAAGTGAGTGAGACAATCGGATGGATGGACTGATTTACCGATCAACCAAACTAAGCGGTAACCGGAGGACGTTAGTGGACTGAAAAAAGGGGACAGCACTGGGAAACAGTCGATTTCGTCGTCATCATCGACAGCATGACATCAATGTTTGACACTGATGGTTCGCTGCTTTATTGTGAAGAAAAGGACCAAAAGCGGACGAGGAAGGGACTTAGTGCTATCCTACAACAATCATTCCGAGGTGCATCAATGTTTGTGATGGTTCGCTGCTTTATTGTGAAGAAAAGGACCAAAAGCGGACGAGGAAGGGACTTAGTGCTATCCTACAACAATCATTCATTCGTGCCTACATCTCCAAACACTCATTCAGGCAATCTGGATAGAAACTGAGAACATGAGCTCTACCGACTTCGATTAGCACCCTTACCTTGAAGTGCCTCCAACCAGGCGAAGTGGGGATCACGCGGTCCACATCCTAGAAGGCAAGTAGTACCAACAGGTCCCAAACGTTTCGTAATCTCTTTCACACCCTTCTGCCAGATAAAGGGTTGGCCACCTCTCTGTTTCTGCTCGGAGAACAGCTCTCGTCGGCAAACAATGGTTCGGCATACGCAATAAATGATCTAACCAACGTAGCTACATGTGCTGGACACATTCTTCGATGGAAGTCCCCGTTGTACAACCGAATACTCGCTTTTTAACTTCCTCGGTACGGGTTCGCCGACACCCACCCACACGAGCTACGGTTCTGAGACAACAGTTGTCGAACATCTGAACAGTCAAATATCCGCAGCAGCATTGGGAAAACCGTTCTGAAAGTCGTACAGAGAATAGACTCTCTACCCATGTTGTGTCATTTTATTACGATTGCTTACTGCTGGACTCCGAGGTGACTACTTCACAGTAAACCTACAACGTAAAATGTGCTTTTTCAACCAAGTTGTAGCCTACCATGGCGTCAAGCTCGAAGGATACAAGTTTCATGTTTTCTACTTACCCTATAGCCTACTCCGGGGACATCACTGAATTCCATTATCTAACTTTCCTCAACCGCCATCCAAGCGTTGTAACAATCTAAAACAAAGTGCGCTTTTGTACGTTTCATGGCTGAATCACGCATACAAAGCCCAAGAACACCAAGGATGAACTCTTCTCCTTCACGTTTCTCCCTTCGTATGGAAGCCATTATCAGCAAGCTCAGCTGTGCTGGTCATTACCGTCTTCGTGGATGGGGACTCCGAGACGGACCACATAAATGGTTGGAGACATTGTCAAACATGACCCACCCACATCCCCAACGGGGCCCTTATATCCAAGCTATTGCTATTGCATTGCTCTCCTCTCAATCCCCAACCTAACAGTCCACTGAAAGTGCTGTATTTACGCTCCAGTTTATCAGCTCCCGCCTCCAGTGTACGTCTACCTACCCATATCCCCGAATCATCGGTGAACGAAACTGTGGCATCTGCCACCACTGTATGACAAGTACGTGGTTATTACAGCTGACAATGATGACGATGATGATCTGGGTAATTCCAGTACTACCGCTCCCCTAGGATGGGGTCATGTAGGTTTTACGTGTGTTGGAGACGAAGAACTGGAGACACAGAACTGCTGCTCACGTCAACGACTATTTTGTTGCCAATTCCCTTCTGGATCGCTTGGTTACTTGGTAGTTTTGAAGTAAAGAGTCCCGTGGAGCAGTGGCACAGATCTCTTCTCCATTTTAACCCCCCTTTCCGAAAGAACGTATCGCCAAAAACCGTGGAGAAGCATGTACTGTTTGCCCAAATTACAGATAAGCCCACAAGGGGGGGCATTCCAGATTTTATGGTCAGCTGCCAGGTTAAGTGACTGACGTCCTATGCACTACTGACGAACAGTTCTTCGATATTGGGAGGCCCCACGCAAATGACTTGGTCATATCCCAGCCTAGGCTACGTGCCCAGCACGAATTTGTGGATGATGCCAAAGTTGAAGTGCGGATTGGAGATAACGACGCTGAAGTCATGCGAGATATATGCGAGTATATGTATTCGGGTCAACTACAGATGCACCACTTAGTACACACCTATGGTGCAACGTCGAGTGATGCGCAACCAAATTGCTTATCTCAGCGAAGATAATAACAGCTATGTTATGTATTCCACTGCACATCCACAAAAGTTGTATGGAATGCAATGACCAAATGGGACTCTCATTGGCTAGGTACAAAAGGCGCGCGAGGCACTTGGTACTAATCTCCCTCCCCCGAAAAAAACTTAGTGGATTAAGCCTTTCCGAAGAGGGAGATGGGATATGCAACGTTGTCTGACCTGCCTCGCAGTCCGCTGTTGGTGAAGACGAGTGTTTTATGGAAGCTGTTCGGCAGTAAAAGCCTCAATGTTGAACACTGATGTGCTGTCCATGATTTTGTTTACATTCGATGTTAATCTGTGTAGTATCCTAAGCGCTTGGTGCGATTGATGTGTCAACACAGTTGCAGGGAACCATAGTGAGAACTTCGACCTCATTTGTTGGACATTCAACATTTGGGTGACCCCGGGTCTGACAGCCTCTTAGTCCTTTGGTTCTTCAACTAATGAACTGAATTCAGGTGACATGGTCGTTTATCTCTGATAACCCCATGTCACCCCAGGGCACCTGAGCTCTACCGACTTCGATTAGCACCCTTACCTTGAAGTGCCTCCAACCAGGCGAAGTGGGGATCACGCGGTCCACATCCTAGAAGGCAAGTAGTACCAACAGGTCCCAAACGTTTCGTAATCTCTTTCACACCCTTCTGCCAGATAAAGGGTTGGCCACCTCTCTGTTTCTGCTCGGAGAACAGCTCTCGTCGGCAAACAATGGTTCGGCATACGCAATAAATGATCTAACCAACGTAGCTACATGTGCTGGACACATTCTTCGATGGAAGTCCCCGTTGTACAACCGAATACTCGCTTTTTAACTTCCTCGGTACGGGTTCGCCGACACCCACCCACACGAGCTACGGTTCTGAGACAACAGTTGTCGAACATCTGAACAGTCAAATATCCGCAGCAGCATTGGGAAAACCGTTCTGAAAGTCGTACAGAGAATAGACTCTCTACCCATGTTGTGTCATTTTATTACGATTGCTTACTGCTGGACTCCGAGGTGACTACTTCACAGTAAACCTACAACGTAAAATGTGCTTTTTCAACCAAGTTGTAGCCTACCATGGCGTCAAGCTCGAAGGATACAAGTTTCATGTTTTCTACTTACCCTATAGCCTACTCCGGGGACATCACTGAATTCCATTATCTAACTTTCCTCAACCGCCATCCAAGCGTTGTAACAATCTAAAACAAAGTGCGCTTTTGTACGTTTCATGGCTGAATCACGCATACAAAGCCCAAGAACACCAAGGATGAACTCTTCTCCTTCACGTTTCTCCCTTCGTATGGAAGCCATTATCAGCAAGCTCAGCTGTGCTGGTCATTACCGTCTTCGTGGATGGGGACTCCGAGACGGACCACATAAATGGTTGGAGACATTGTCAAACATGACCCACCCACATCCCCAACGGGGCCCTTATATCCAAGCTATTGCTATTGCATTGCTCTCCTCTCAATCCCCAACCTAACAGTCCACTGAAAGTGCTGTATTTACGCTCCAGTTTATCAGCTCCCGCCTCCAGTGTACGTCTACCTACCCAACGGACCACAGGTTGGAGACATTGTCAAACATGACCCACCCACATCCCCAACGGGGCCCTTATATCCAAGCTATTGCTATTGCATTGCTCTCCTCTCAATCCCCAACCTAACAGTCCACTGAAAGTGCTGTATTTACGCTCCAGTTTATCAGCTCCCGCCTCCAGTGTACGTCTACCTACCCATATCCCCGAATCATCGGTGAACGAAACTGTGGCATCTGCCACCACTGTATGACAAGTACGTGGTTATTACAGCTGACAATGATGACGATGATGATCTGGGTAATTCCAGTACTACCGCTCCCCTAGGATGGGGTCATGTAGGTTTTACGTGTGTTGGAGACGAAGAACTGGAGACACAGAACTGCTGCTCACGTCAACGACTATTTTGTTGCCAATTCCCTTCTGGATCGCTTGGTTACTTGGTAGTTTTGAAGTAAAGAGTCCCGTGGAGCAGTGGCACAGATCTCTTCTCCATTTTAACCCCCCTTTCCGAAAGAACGTATCGCCAAAAACCGTGGAGAAGCATGTACTGTTTGCCCAAATTACAGATAAGCCCACAAGGGGGGGCATTCCAGATTTTATGGTCAGCTGCCAGGTTAAGTGACTGACGTCCTATGCACTACTGACGAACAGTTCTTCGATATTGGGAGGCCCCACGCAAATGACTTGGTCATATCCCAGCCTAGGCTACGTGCCCAGCACGAATTTGTGGATGATGCCAAAGTTGAAGTGCGGATTGGAGATAACGACGCTGAAGTCATGCGAGATATATGCGAGTATATGTATTCGGGTCAACTACAGATGCACCACTTAGTACACACCTATGGTGCAACGTCGAGTGATGCGCAACCAAATTGCTTATCTCAGCGAAGATAATAACAGCTATGTTATGTATTCCACTGCACATCCACAAAAGTTGTATGGAATGCAATGACCAAATGGGACTCTCATTGGCTAGGTACAAAAGGCGCGCGAGGCACTTGGTACTAATCTCCCTCCCCCGAAAAAAATTAGTGGATTAAGCCTTTCCGAAGAGGGAGATGGGATATGCAACGTTGTCTGACCTGCCTCGCAGTCCGCTGTTGGTGAAGACGAGTGTTTTATGGAAGCTGTTCGGCAGTAAAAGCCTCAATGTTGAACACTGATGTGCTGTCCATGATTTTGTTTACATTCGATGTTAATCTGTGTAGTATCCTAAGCGCTTGGTGCGATTGATGTGTCAACACAGTTGCAGGGAACCATAGTGAGAACTTCGACCTCATTTGTTGGACATTCAACATTTGGGTGACCCCGGGTCTGACAGCCTCTTAGTCCTTTGGTTCTTCAACTAATGAACTGAATTCAGGTGACATGGTCGTTTATCTCTGATAACCCCATGTCACCCCAGGGCACCATGTTCCTCGTCCACCGTTTGAATCACACATTAGTTGGTGCATATCTGTCGGAATTTGAAACAGTCGTGATAACCATATCAAAATAACCAGCACTGTGCGCATACATGCACGCAAGCGGTGGACCACGTAGTTTGCTGACTCACTGTTGGACCATGGTTTAAACCCATCAAAACCAAATCCGTCGATAAGGCTACGGAGTTCGTCCGTCAGTTGCGGTCCGCTCTCTCACTTCCTCACACTCCTAGCTTCCCAAACCCTTTGACTGACGGAAACTACATCCCCACAGACACACAACTGCCGTTCAGCCCTTTTATTTTTGCGGTCCACTGTGTATATAATCAAGCATTTGGGACTTGCGGTTTGTTGTGTTTATGTACAAAATTGGCAGTCTTCGTCGTCACCTTGCTTCACCCGTGCAAATGCGCCTCGGTGGGAACAGGAGTCACGCAGTACGTCCAGTTTACGTGTGTGTGTGTGTATGTGTGTGTGTGTGTGTGTTATGTAATACCTTCGAGCAATCAGTCCATATTATTTATTTTTTTTTATTCTGTTAAAACCCTGGTCCATACACACTTGGTTTGCACTAGATATAGCTCATTCAAAGTGTGCTTCGTGGGATAGTTTTTTTTAACTTGGGAACCATCGGCAAACAACACAGTATGTTCCATTCTTTCCTAATCGCGAAGCTCACCTTATGGCTACTCAGAAAAGAGAATATGGTTTCAAGAGTTCCACTGGTGGAATAAAAATGAAGTTATCTAGGAGACGCACATCTAGCAACATTGGACTTTTGTGTGAAAGGCTACTTCTGGCCGTGCAAGACTTGTTTCTTATTTTTGTTAACCGGTGTATAGTATCTTCCGGATGACACGGTGACCTCGAGTCGGTCGGAGCTTCAAATTTTCTTCACAGCCTGTTTTTTTGTTTAGAAGATGAACATGACCGATGAACAAACCGATGCCACTAAAACTCGAACCTAACGGCTCATCGACATTTGTCTAAGGAGACGGTTTATCGTACAGAAGTAATGGGCCTTCGGAATGGTCCGACCCAGTGTTTCAGATGACCTAATCAATGAAGCTTATTTTACTTACGGTCGACGGGCTTGTGGTACACACTGTCAACACACAGTCGACACCAGTTAACCGATTGTATTCCAAGCAAGGTCTAATAGAAGTTTTATGTTCAGTCCCGCACTGCCCAACTTCCACCAGTCTTCTTAACTGAACGGTGCATTTCAGTAGAAATGCAGGTAAACTCTGATGCCATTTTGTACATCTACGTGCAGTCACCGAAGAGGTACTACACTGACTCGTGGATGTATTTTTGCACTGCAATCGATCCACTCATCGATCTGTTCCTCAGACCTTTTCGCCAAACACCTAAACTTCCTTCACATTGTTCCAACATCGTTCTGACAGTTATCAGAAACAGTGAATGTGTCACGTGACCTTTGCTGTGTTTGTGTGTGTGCGTTGCTCATACTTTTTCATTGTGGACTTGAGGCGAGCTTGATCTTGGGTTTGTGCGCGGGTGTAGTAACTGTTTGATCCAACGTCGTCCGTCGTTTCCAACTTGTCTAGGACATGAGTGCACAAATGTGATCGATCAGTGCGTGCACATTTTCTCTAGCAATTCTGGTATGCGTGTGAGTAGACACGAGAATACCATAACTACCGCGTTTCATCTGTGATTTGCCTCCAGGGTATGACAATAGAGACGTTCCCCGTGTGTTTGCGTACAACATGGCTTTTAGTAACCATGTCGTGTGTGCCTGGTTGTCGACTGTTGTAGCGAACCGAATGGTTGGTTGGTTGCTGTCACCGGTGAGTCAGACTAGTCGCTTTCGCTCTATCCATGAGCTCCTATGATTTACCAATTAATTTATTTAGCTAGTTATTTATTTAGTTAGTGGATAAGTATACCACTACCCTTTTACTCTTACACACAAGACATCTGTGTTACTGTTGAATATGATGTTCTTGCTAACAATAAATAATAATGATAATAATAGCCAATACTCGTTCAGCTATAGCACCCTTTCGGTGCCTGGCTGCCACGCTCCCCGAAAGCACAAAGGCTGAGATACTGACAGGTTGCTCAAGCGTAGACAGGAACAGTCGATATGCTGGAGTTGAGTTCAAACCACTGACCTTCCGGTCAGCTAAGTTCGCACTTTAGCTATTGAGTTGTCTCAAGTTAGTTCTATGGCATTGCACTTTCTGTCGATTTCGCAAATATGCCACTTGATCGCAACTATTTGAAAATGGCGATCAGATTGGCCTAGATGGTAATGCCAGTAGACCGAGTTCTCACATTTGGCCTTACTGTCCATATTGACTCCGGGTCCACACCCCTGATTTAGTACAACACAGTTACATTCTTGGTATGTGATAAGTCAGTTTGTGGGCTCAGGGTAAACCCATATGAGCACAACCCTGAGTCCAGAAAGCCTGGAGACTATAGTAAAGCGGGAATATAGTAACGGGTTTGGAGTTCCAGAAGGCTGTCATTCGAGGGCAGAATCAAGGCAGATCATTCCGACAGTAGGGCGTTGTATCTTTGTATGGGTAACATTGAGGACAAATCTGGACGAAGCAATCGGAGATTAGAGGGAGGGCCACGGCTGACACAAGTCTGGGCGAACATTTGTCATGATAGTAACGTCGCGAATAAGATAGGTGGTGGCTATATCTTAATGATGAAGAGCTAGTTGACAATCGTCGTTGGGGAATTTGGTGTTAATGAGGTGAGCGGTCTTTGGAAGAGGTCCAGTGGGTTGATAGATGGTGCCCCCACCCTAGACACGGCAGCAACACTTCAGGATAGGACGAATCTGATATTTAAGGAGGAAAATGAGCGAGTTAAGTACTTGCGGGCGTGGAAGATAAATCCCACGCACTTTTAGTGTTCAGTTTGACGTGAAAACACCTTCGAGTCCCTCTAAGAGGTACTCAATGTGATCAAATGGATACCGCGAGTTGGTCGTCAGAACTTCTTAAGAATACACTGCATGGTGGGATCTGAATATCCTTGTGAGCGTGACTGTATATTCCAGATCTTGAAAATCACTCCATCGTTCACCATATTGACTGCACATTATTTCTGTTTTCTTTGGGTATTACCACTCACTCCTGCTCCCTTAGACTCTAATCTGCGGGGTCGTATCCAAAACGGACATGCCCTTTCGACCAGACCTTGGATACTTCCTCACCTCCTCCCCACTAAGCTTTTTAATGGTTCGACTTAGATGCGTGTTGGAGCACTTTCCGGTAGAGTAGATTTATCCTTGGCTGACGTTTCAAACACAACATGCTTACGTTGTATTGTTACACACTCGTGCCAACGATGTTCCTGTTGATCATGTTTAAAATCACACAGTCCACACGTGACCTGTTCCAAGCCGATCTTGTTTATGACCAGTTCCTTTTCCAGCCGCCTAGCTACACTGGTTGCTTGGCTAACATACGTGATTTCATAGAGAAATTCTGGCCAGCGTGCAGCTGATTCCGTTCGATTTTCATGAGGCAGGAGCGAAATTTATAGGCATTCTACGTATTAGCACACCGTTGTTAATCATCGGTACGCTGCATTACTCGTGTATATTATTATAGTAAGCAGAGAGTGAACAGTATAGTAGAGTCAGTTTATATTGTTACGCCGAAGGTCGTAACAACCGTCGTTCCTGCGGTTACGAACCGTCTGTGGTAAATCTGGACTTCCTTGGAGTTGGAGTGTCACTTCTGGTTTGCTGACAACCAAGTATTGAGAGGATTTCCGCGGATTTCAACGGTACACTCATTTATGTTGCATTCGCCGCTGTACCTTTTCACACCGAATTCCTGGCTGACGTGAATCGCGTCCACTTTGAACCGACACCTTGCCACTTCTTTCCGAAATGCTGGGGCTGATACACGTCATCCAGAGCCGTCATTCCTATGGATCTTGATACTATCCGAAACTTACGGTCTTTTTTAGCCAGAACTTGACGCTTCCCTCAAGTTCCTCAGCTAATCAACCTATACACTGTGACTACGTCCTCGTTTCCTCCGTACACTTATTCTCTCACTGGTATTTCCAGTGATTTCTTGGGTCCGGAAAACTACTGAACTGGTCCTTGTGCCCCGTAGGGAGATTAGTCCGCCAAACAAGCACTTACCAACTTTAGTTGTTCGCGGCTTCTGAACTCAGCACATTTTTCGCCTAAAAAAACGTAAGTCTTGTAACATACCCTCCATTCCGTCATAGAAAAGCTTTAATTGTTGCTGTCAAGCCTCCAGACAATTAACTCTTGGCTATGCGGTCACTGGCAACAACAAACTCATCATTCGCTAGAATATCCCATATTGATTTGTGACTATGAGATGTGACCTCGATGAACAGGAGGTATGTGGAGATTTTCGGTGTTTGCCTTTCAGGCAATACCTTTGTCTGTGATATGCGGGAATCAGAAGGAATAGCATTACTGACCAACTGACACGTTCTTCGGGTTGTGACTCTCAAGCCACATATCCGCATGTCAATAAATTGCCTGCTACCTGACATCTGTTTCAGACTGTCGTATGCAGGACCGAGGCAGCAGTGTATGACCTACAACAATTTATTGAAGCCCCGGCAATAAAATGATCCCTTTATAAAATAATAAATAGTAAAATGTTAGTGAATAAATGGCGATAAAGTCCAGTCTCCTTGATAACTCAATAGTTATTGATTACGGTACACAATCCTAATGATGAACCAATCTTCCAGCCTTTAGTGCACTTGTACCGTTGCTATCGCCATCAGTATCTTGCTGTGAAAAGCGTCATTTTATTAGAAAACTATACTTTCTGTCCCCACAACGACTCACATTAGAAGACCACTTACTCTCCTTCGGTAACTGTGTACAGCGGCACGGTTGGGAATTCATTAGCAGACCATTCATTGTAACACATGATCCAAGCTTTTGTTAGTAACCGGTGTACATGAGTAGTATACTAGACCATCAGCAAAATAGTCGCGTCACCATTGTTGATTTACTAGTATCTTCCAGGTTGTTAATGAATTGACTTACACAAGTCACGATGTGTAGGTATGGATTTCACACGCAGTCACCGTACATGAGCCACAAACACTTGGGCCATTGCTTGGGATGCTGAAATAAGAAAGCACGAAGCATGGCTTCTCATGCATGGTTAACATAGATAAGTCGTCCTTAGTGGATTTAAATTCACCTTTTGAAAGAGTCGAGTCTATTTTAGTTATATTTCGTTTAATCTACCAACCCTGGCGGGGTGCCATGGCCCAATTCACTGGTCTAGGATGAGTTTGTGTAAGATGTGCGCGCGTGTGCGTGTGTGTTCGAAAGCTATTCACTGTCGGAATCATCTGGCGTAGCATTTTGTTTCCAACATTCCAAACGACAGCCTCAGCTGTCCTGACTGATATATTGTAATGAAAGGTCCAAGTACACGTAATACGAACGAGAGACGCCCCTCGTGATCTACTGGAACCTTCAACCTCCCATTGTCCGGACTGAGCTACTAAGGACGCTCGCTCTCCGTCACATTTATGTATCTGAACTTCAGAGTTGAATCTAACATTAGAATTTATCATGCATACTTCGTAATTGTTTGATTTCACCGCTGGTGTAACCTGCCCGATCAGCTAGCCAGTATTCCTGACACTCTTTATGGATGAAAAATAGGCAACTGCTTGATGCGGTGATAAGGTTGTGTTCACTGATCTTACAGCATCCTATTCACATCATAAAACTAATGGAGTGGACCTTTTCACCTTTGTGTGGGTTGAAAAGCACGCCGCCAAGAGACGGACCCTGCTGGATATCTCAACGTTACTTGCTTAGGCAACCAATTCTATCTTTGTTCTCGTTATCCCGTACCAGCTGCAACCAATCTTTGGTGTACGGGTTCTGCCGAAAATCCTGCAGGTTGACTGAATTCTTTGGAGAGAATCAAAACTTAGAGGCACCACCTATGCTAAAATTTTAACGAAATCCTTGACGTGTCTCAGTGGAAGACGTGCACCTTTGGCTCACCCCTTGGAATGCTGATGATATGAAATCTTGCAACTGTCGTGACCGGTTTATGTTTATCGGTTCCACGGATAGGGTGGATGGATGTAACGTAGACGTAGGAAGAATATCGCCCATTAAATGGTGGGCCGTTTAGTTGGTGTTACTAGCCTCAGCGCCTTCCTTGGATCGTGTGAGCGTTAGGATGTTTTTGACGCTATTAGGTCGAAATCATCGCCCAGCACGCACGGTGGAACAGTAACAGACCGCTAACGGGAAGTTGAACACTGGTTGACGGCTTCATAATGCTGATCCAGTCCACCCTTATTTTCGTAATTGGAGGGGATAAAAGAAGATAGATAAAGCGTTCAGCTGTAGCACCCTTCCGGTGCCTAGCTGCCATGCCACCCGAAGGGAGCACGAGGGCTGGGATACTGCCAGGTTGCCCAAGCCTAGACAGGGGAAGTCGAGTGGCGGAGGTCGGATTCGAACCGCGGACCTTCAGGTTAGTAATCCGCGCTCTAACCACTTCCTTGGTCCTACATTTTCGAAGTTGCTACTATCTTTATGGGTGTAATATACTGTTGAAAACTAAAAACATCATGAACGAGGGATTCAGCTGGGTTCCATGCGAGTCTCTCGTCAAAACCAAATTGGTGTGCAAATGAGTGTATTTTGCTAGTTATTGTCTTGGTTGTGGACGGAATAGACAAGAGACGTCCTCAATTTGATCGATCTAGGTGAACCGCGCATTAGAAACTAGTCGTGTCTGTGCACTACCTTCTGAGGTCACCAATCACTCATCCATGTTATACAAAATAGCCTACTCCCTTGTTTAGAATGATCAATCATGATTCCACAAGTCGCCTTCACACATCAAACTCTTGAACTTCCATTTCACCGGGTATAACTGGTGTGGTACTTGGGAGGTGTCCTCGACACTATATTAAAAACCAGTGTGACAACTTGTCTTTTTATCCATGTCTCCTCCCTTCGCAGTATGTGGAAAACGCAAACTTCATAGTTCCGGTGGAGCTAGATGGCGTGAAGCATCAGGTAAGCTTTTGTTTGCTTGTGTGCACTGTCATTTTTTTCTGTTAAGTCTACCATCCTGTGGGACCTAGGACACTTTTTGAGCTACAGACAAGATAGAGATAATTGTATAGCTGCAGGACGTCCTCGGTGACCAGCTGCCAGACCAACTGAAGGAGGCAAGAGGGCTAGGCTACCATCAGATTGCCCCAGCTACAAAACCCGTGTGTGTTTGCTCATCTTGGTTCCGCAGATGTGTCAAGGCATTGCTCAGCTTGATAGTGGTCGTTTTCATTCTGCGTTTCGATGTCATCGTCTTTCCGCCTTGGACCGTTTCTAACTTGTGCTCGGAATGTAGGGTATGTAGGCCGATACGCACTACTACTACTACTATTATCATTTACTTTTGAAGAGCATGGTCACAAACATAAAAAGTTAGTGCAAGCGATGAATGCGAAAGAGTAACAGGAGAATATGGGAGAAAAGAGAGAAACGTCTCATTCGAGATCATGCCAAGGGCAGTGCCAGTCTGATGAGGTGAATCCCAAAGTATGTAAAGATGTTTGTATGGGAACACGCGTCTAGAGACCAACAACCAAAGAAAGGACAAACAACGGTGAGTGCCCTTCAAGGCGCAGTGTGCGCTAGCACAGTCAAGACTCGCACATCAGGCAACAAAGTATCCGTCATACTGGGTCTGGTGTGAGATTAAATGACGAAAATGTACCTTCAGCGCCATGTGCCACGCATAAAATGTCATAAGTACGCAGAGAGCCCAAAATGGCAAGCAAACACAAGTCAATGACTGCGACCTTAGGAAGTCCCAGTCCAATAACAGCCTTAGCGGAGTGAGGAAAGCAGATCCCTCGATAAGAGATGATCACCGGTTGGTGAACCAAAAAGTCGAAATCACAACCGATGGCATGTAGG